CAGTCAGTCTATGTTCCTGGTGTATGGTCTCTTTGATCTAAGCCATTATTCTCTGTGGCCCGGGGACTTCCCTCTATCCCTTTACGGGTGCTGAGGATCTCCCAAAGGCTCTTCTACCGGTAGCAAATAAGCCCATGCTTCACTATCCTATCGAATGGTGTGATAGGGCTGGCTTTGATAGTACGTTTTGACTCCACCTATTTCTCCCACTTGCTAATTATCCGCGATAGCGATCTTAATTCTCACCTTAACTGAGCACCAACCCGCAATTCAATCTTATCTCCGCTCTCACCGTGCTCAAAAGTCCTCGGTCGAGATCCGGGTTGAATCACCCTCGTCACTGAATGACAATCTTGGCACTGCCGACGTAATAAGGATAGCACACAAGAAGGGATGGATCCATGGTGACTTTGCAGTATTACCCTGCGATTTGGTTACCACCATGGATTCTCAAGAGGTTATGGAAATGTGGATGGTTGAGCAAGCAGGTTTCGATTCAGATATGGGGAGGCGACCAAGGCTGAGCAAGAAGGCTGGTGATGCCGATGATGGACGGCGTGGAGGATTGGGCATTTGGTATGAGACTAGGGGCGAGGGTGCAACCAAGGGAATGGGTATGTTTTCTCTTTTTCTCTTTTTCGAATTGTGTTTTCCAGAAGCCACTTGGGCTAAAACTTTTGCTTTAAGAAACCGATTTCATTGCGGTTGTCCCACGCCCTACAGAGAACCAATCGACCTCCAAGTGTCGCTCGAAAGGGACCGTTTCCCGCTTGTTGTTTAATATGCCAACACATATGCTCAAAGGGGACGATGTGTCCTCCGAGTTTCCCATCCGCCGTTCTCTCTTAGAGAAACATCCAAAACCACATTTATACACAACCCGCCGTGACAGTGGAATCTATTTTTTTCCATACTGGGTTTTAAAGTTTATCGAAGAGAACCCGAAAATGGCGTCCCTCCGTGAGGACGTAGTGCCCTGGTTGGCTAAGTGTTGTTGGCAAAATCGAAGGCTTGCGGACAAACTTGGTCTCCTTGATATCCTGGTTGGGAGTGAGGAGGAGGACGATTTGGAGGAGATAGATGTCGGAGAGCGCTACGACGTCGGCTCAATGAGCACTAACCGGGTTCGCAAGCTAGAAAAGCCAAAGAACGAGCCCGCTGCAGAGCCTGGATCCGAGACAAGCAGAGCTATAAGGGCTCGTATGTTGGCTAAGGCAGAGGTGCCAATTCCAGAAGTCACAGCATACCTACCGAGCCAATCAAAATTGTTCATTCGCCGTGTGGATACTACCCACCTCTACTTATTCACTTGCCTTTATTTAGCCAAATCAGATCCTCAGACCGCAACTGCTCAGGTTAAAATTGACCCTTCAGCTTCAATCGATCATAAAGCTATTGTTAGCGCTTTTGACTGTTTGATCGCAGACAAAGTTTCGATAGGTGAAAAAGCCAATATTAAGCGTTCAGTTCTTGGTAGTGGAGTGAGTATTGGAAGGGGTGCGAGATTGATAGGATGTGTTTTAATGGATGGAGCTTCTGTCGCCGAAGGCGCAAAGCTTGAAGGATGCACGGTTGGAAGAAAGGCGATCGTCGGTGTAAAGGCTAATTTGAAGGACTGCGAAATTGCGGAAAATTTTGTGGTTGACGAAGGAAGTCAGTAATCAATCATCATCCCTATCTCGGAGTCTGGGCACTTGCTAATACCGAACCACAGCCGAGGCCAAGAACGAGAGATTCGTTCTCTTTACTGGGTTGGACGCCGACGCTTCTGACGCCTCAGGTCAAGACTCCGATGGGGACTGTGAGGATAACGATCACTCGAAAGCCGCCGAAAATGATAGTGAGGAGGAATCAGCGTCCGAAAATCTAGCCCCTAAGCCTGCCACTAAAAGTGGGGTGAACCTTGCCGTGCATCCTTCCCCCGCGAAGGATCTTCCTCCCCCTTACTCTTTGGAAGCACCCGCCTTCATCCCTTCCGAGTCTAAGGCCACCAACGCGCCGCAGGGCGCACCTGCAAAAGACGTTGCGTCCGGCAGTTGACGTTTACAGGTCTGGTGGGTTATTGGTGGGGTCTTTGGAGTTTTCCTGGGGCTGTTTTTGCTGCTGCCGAGGAGTGGGGTATGAGCCGAGTGTATAATAATGTCATTTCCGGGAACGTTATTTTGGGGGTCATGCGTTTGGGACGGATAGAAATTAGATTTGGGGGGTTGTTGCTCTTTTATGACAAAGAAGGGTCAAGCATTCGGTTTTTTTCTTTCCTTTTTTTCGTTGGCTCACGGACCATACCCATATCGTGCGAGGAGTGTGCTCGAGTATGTTACAATACATGTCGAAATTATAACTTATTCCCTCGTGATGAGACGCGGAATATTGGGAGAGCGAGTGATTATATATGATAATACGTTGCGGGTTTTTGATGGGGCATCGGAGCAAAGGAGGTAGGAGCCTATATACAGCCGCATCCGCGGATTTCTCATATCCCCCCAAGTACTACGAGACTCTTACTGTCCTATTTCTGTTAATAGGTATCGCTATCGAGGTGCCAGGAGGGGTACGAGAGCTTTACGGACGTGGGTGTACGCTTCGGGGAGATATCTGATCGCTTGTCTTGCCTTATGATCTAAAGGAAGGGTAATGGTGGTTTGCGTTGGGTCTACAACACAACCAGAAGCTATTCGACTACATCTATTCTCCGTCCGGCGAAAAGTTTGGCCATAATGTGCGTATCGAAATTCGGGAGAAATGGTCGTAGTTTTGGAGCCCGGGTGAACTTTTTTACAATTGGAGATTTTCGGAAACGAGTATCATAACATTTTGTATGATACGAGCCCTCTTTCAACTCTAGGCGCTCAAACTGAATTTTCGAGCTCTTCTGCACAAGGTAATTCCCTAGCGCGCCGGGGGGGGGGGTTAGTTCTCGGGTCTGCGGGCGGTGAGTGGTAAGATGTGATTTAGATCCTTGGCTACTTGGGTGTATAATTTGGGGATTTGTGAGGGGTTTGACGTAGTGGACTCGAATTGCTTGTATTGTTCGAAGGGGTATACACTGTGCTTTCGACCGGTAGCCGTTGGGCGACAGGGGGTTGTGTCCGAGTTGTGTTTGGGGGTCCTGGGGGCGTCGTTGGTAGGGGTGTATTTACAAGGGCTCAATATGGCTCTAATGGCTGTTTATGATAGTTGGTTAGGTGAGTTGATTTTTTCCACTGCGTGTGGGAGGGTGGTATGGGTATCGCGTATCGTATGGTAATGATGTTATGATCGACTATCTAACCTATTGGCTTGCAAGGCCCCTACTTGAGGTTCCTTGAACGAGGTCATCATATGGTAAGCTGTATATTACTTGGAGCGCTCTTATGCTTACCTATTGAGAATGAAGGTGTCTACTGCTGTCCTATCATAGGTGTGATAATTATTGCACGGTACAGTACTGGAATAATTGATAGTTAGGGTTGCGGGTTCACTATGAGAGGGTAAGCAGCCGCAGTATCATAATAATATTATTATAATATCATCATACTTGCAGATTGCTTAATCTTCATTGGGGCTTTTGACATCTTTATCAATTGGCAGCCATGGGTATGTAGCGACGGAATCTCTGGGGAAGGCGGGCTTGTTGAAGCCTGTGTTTGGCGTAGGTTATTAGCTGATTTTTGAATCGGAAGCCTCGCTCTTATTAGATGTTACTGTATAGCTGTTGGTCATAGAAAGTGCGGAGTATCTGTCAATGCACTACCGTACTCTCTGCTCTTCCCTCTCAAAGCTGAATCCAAGCACACCTGCCCGGAGGTTAGACTGGTTGGTATTTGTTCACGGGGCGCAAGTAACATCTCGTTAAATACCTGACTAGCGAGGCGATTCAATTGGTATGAACCCGGGAGTTTCAGTCGATTCCCCGTCATTATGAGATATATTATTGAACGGTGCATCGCGCAGGTTGGGGTAGGATAACCATTGTCAGTGATATTATTATTGTTTTTAGAAAACAACCTTGCATCTCCGGGAACCGAGAGCCCGAGAGGAGGAAGGAAGGATCAAGCCGTCATGCTACAAGCGAAGTGGTAGAACTCGGCTGCGAAGTGTGCACTTGGGGCGAGGTTTGTGATGGCTCGGTCCCCTCACTTTTGAGCAGTAACTGTAGGTTTTGGATGTTGGCTTCGTAAGGTCTGGGGTGGCATGTGAGGATCTGTACAAGATATTGATCTGTGAGTAGACTACCTGTAGTCTAATTGATGCTGTTCTTTCCCCCATATCATAAGCTCTGGTTTAAACGGCAATAAAGCTCCCCTTGAACCTTACCTGAGTCATATCCCTTCCCGTGTAGACTAACGGCCACTATCACACGGGGCCATTCCCGCACTGCACCGCTGCTCCCGCCCCGATACGGGATCGCCATCAAAACCGGAACAGGGGCTCTTACAGCCACAACAATGACATCACACCCACACTTATACAGTATAATACCTTGGCAACGACGTCAACAACCATTCCCTCTGAATTGTAGAGATAAAGATCGCTCTCATCCATTCCCCATGCTTGCTTCGAAACTCCTCGACCCCAGGATGAATCCACCAAAATGCTCTGGTTCCGCTCTTCTCCCCCCAGCGACCGCGACGCGGACACGCGCCCCCTCTTGGCAGATTACGATGCCGTGACGACCCTCCAATGCAAAGCTGCAGCGAAGCTGCACACGTACCAGATGCTCCGCGCCGTATCTAAGGGTTACTATCCTAGCACTGAGCAGCTGGTAGTCCACTTGAGGACCCTCCTGTCCGCGGATGTGCTGCGCCCGGCGAACGCGCAGTTGAGCGCTGACGGGCGTAGGCTCGTGCGACATATGCGGAGGTTGATTGAAGAGTTCATAGAGTTTCTCAGGGATAAGAATTCGGAGGACCAAATTCAGGAGTTTTTGTGGTGCGTTACGAGGGCTCGGGTTGAGCTTGATGTTGGTGATATAATGCAGATGGCTGGGAGGGCAAGGGGAGGTGCTAATGTTGGTGTTGGTGGGTTTCCCTTTCTTCCTCAGGATTGGTTTTGGTTTTTTTTTTGGTAGGGAGGCTAATAGGGTTCGCCTGTCATAGCTTATGGCTCACTGCATACCGTTTTCGACTTACTCCTGGCGAATAGTGACTTCCGGAAGTTGCTGGCAGACTTAACGACCATCACTCGACAGGTTTTCGCTGACACGGCTGCTACGTCCGTGCACGTTGTCCAGACGGTAGCAGAGACGGTAGAACCGAGCGACGCGGAGCTTGTTGCAATTAGTTCCAAGGCACCAGCATCCGAAAATGAGGACTTTGGGGAAGTTCCTGCAAAAGAGGTTGGCGAAGTCATTGCCGAAGGCGCTGTTGAGACCGCTACCCAAGCGGTCGCCAGTGCTGACCGGGAATTGAACAAGGCCGGAAGAAAAGATGCCCTGGTGGAAAGGATGAAAATGGTGGTTATGAGACTTCGTCAGAATATGGATTATACGCAATCCGTGTCGCTTCTGTCGGTACTTTTGAAGAGGTATGCAAGGACTTACTCGAGGGCTTTGGATGTTGCGACCACCGCAGTCGTGGAGGATATCGAACCGAATCCAGCGCTGGACGGGGCTATAAAATCCTTCTGGTCCTTTGTCAAGTCTTTTGGAGACAGAGTGGAATGGGATGAGCTCGGGGTGAAATGGGACAGTGATGGACCATGTTCATAGAGACTCCGAGTTCGAAAACGCCATGGAGGACGTCGGAAACTCTGTTCAAGCACTGCTCACAGACCCAGACTTCATCGTCTGCGCCGACGAAAAGATTGCCGCCATCCGCGAGAGGGTCCGGGGAATCGGCACTAAAGGCACACTCCGAGGCGATATCGATGACGCCTTCGGTCAGGCGCAGCGAGTCTTCACCTCAACCCTCAACGACAAGGACATCTCCAACCTCCTCCGCACCTCGGCCACGATCGCAAACACCCTATTCCCCTCCGCAACCCACCCCACAAACCCGGAGCTAATAACTGACTTCTTTAACGTCTTCCTCCCCCTTGCCATCCAATCAATCCAATACATCCCGATCCCCCGCCTAACCATCTCAACCCCATCTATAGACCTCCTGCTAGAAAACCTAATCTTAGAACCGGGAGAGACAATAAACGACTCCTCCTTCCTCCCCTTCCGCATGCGCATAGAAACCCAAAACGCCCTGGAAATTCGTAAGGGTCGTTGCAGAGCCTGTTCGTCAATAACCTCCCTTGCGACGATAAAGCTCGATGGGATATCTCTCCGCGCGGAGGACGTAGGATACTGGCTTCGTGCACACCACGGCTCGATCATACCGGGATTCACAGACGCGGGCCTAGCCAGCTTCTCGATCGACAAACGAGGGATAGACCTCCACCTCGATGTGGAGATCGCCAAAGACCGCATATCAAGCATCCTCTCGCTCCGTGGTGTGCACGTCCAAATACACAACCTGAACTACACCCTCCGACAATCACGGTTCTCATTCCTGTCCTGGCTCTTCAAGCCTCTCTTGAGGCGCCTCGTGCGGAGAGCGCTTGAGCGCGCGATTGCAGAGAATGTTAAAGCTGCGCTCGAATTTGCGGATCGGGAGATATTGTTTGCGAGGGAGAGGTTGAGGGCTACGAGGATTGCCCAGCCGAGGGATCTGGCGACTTTTGTTAGGGCAGTTATGGCTAGGTTGCGCCCGGAGCCGGATCCCGATGTTGAGGTTGGTATTGGAGTGTTACCGGGGAGGGGTGAGAAGAAGGTTTTCCAGGGTAGGAGGACCCCAGGCAGTCTTGTCCATCTCTGGGAGGAAGAGGGGGAGAGGGCGGGGGAGATTGTGGATGAAGGGGCGGTTGGGGGGTGGAGGAATGAGGTTTTTGACCTGCATGTTAGGAGTTTGGAGTGATGAGTTTTATGGATGTGACATATGCTGGGTTGGGTCTCGTTTCATGCCATTGCGGGTGGTGTGATATCGTTCTGTTTTTTTATCGTAGCCAGCATTCGTGGTTTTAGCTCCAGTGTTTAATATTTTCCATTTTCTCCGTGCGTGATATGATACAAGAGTAATAAAAGCGTATCATGGAGTTTATTTTGATAAACGCACGAGAACAACTGTAAATTGTATTCATGTGCTAACCATACGAATGCCGCCCAACCTTAATATCAGGCTCCAATGCAATCGGTCAGTAATGTTGAGACTGCCATCATGTATTATGCTGTTGCTCTAGACAACGTATCGGAAGGTGGACGAGGACTAGACTACCAGATCCGCCCAACCATCTGCGGTAGCTGCACCACCATTAAAACCCCCCCCAATCGGATACTCTGAGTACAAGCATCAGAATATTAGAAAAGATCGGGCAAGTCGGAGTAGTCCCTAAGAACCCAGACCAGTCCGGGCAGGCGTAACATGGGACTGATGATTCTTTTTTTGCTTTTTTCTATATCTGAGTAAAGTTTCATGGGGAATTGGGCTGTTAGGAATTTGGAACTTTTGAAAAAAAGTCTTTTAATGATAGCAGTAACGATTGCTGGCTTTCCACAGCGGTCAAGTTGCAACTGCTCCAAGATTTCAACTTTTCTCCACTGCCCTGTTTTTGTTTTTTTTCCATGATGTCAATTTCACGATTCCCGAGATTCCTTGTTCTTATCCCTGTTTTTGCTCGATTTTTGCTGTACTATGTGCAAGTATTTCCATACGTATCATACCCGGGTATGACACTTGTACCCAACGATCGATATTCCTCCCATATCCGGCAGCTAACCACCCATACCCCCTATGGACGCCACATATCATATAAACCATTCACTCCCTATTCCGGCATTCACGATCATCCCAGCTATGACTTTGCTGGACCGTTCCCGGTAATTCTTATGCGGGTTTTTGTCGCATGGGGTACGCCGGACGAGCTCCTTTGAGAAATCTTGCGTATCATAATGCCACACCGGTAAGTGAGACTGCAGCATCACTTGTCTGGGGCTCGACGTAATGTGCTCGTGGATTGACTTGAAGTGGACCCACTCACCATGCGCGTTGTAGACTCCGCTCGGGCACGTCCGTCCGTCCGTCCCGTGCCGGCCAGTTCGGGTGGCGTATCGGGGGTTTCGGCTGGCTCCCCGCCGGCCGCGAGTGGGTTGAGGTATGGGTGGTATCGTGGTTGGATTTGTTTGTTGAGGGACGCTCCTGAAAGTCCTTGTTTGTGATGGTTTTGTTGCGGGGTGGATTTGGGGGTTTTGGTGGTGGTGGGTGTTGGCAACTTGTATAATATATAATGCTACGTGGGTGAAATGTGAGAGTGCTGGACGTGGATCCGTGAGCGGTATTGCTCCATGGGGATCGACAATCTGGTGGGTGATGCCTGCCAGGACGTTAACTGGATATAGATTGAGTTTGGACCGGAAGGGCTCTGGAATATTCACGGATGGCAGATGCCGAACGCGACCGTAAAAACTGGGCTGGTGATTGGTGCGAAGGTCGGAGAACTCGTACGAGTGCTTTTTTTGTACGATATTTATGTGTCGCCGCACCGGCTATGATACCAGTTATCATACTAGTTGCCCACCAAGTAAGTAGGCAGAGGGTTCACCAGTCAACACCGCACTACGCCAAATCAAATCATGCGATATCACTCATGGTCGCTTGATATTCTCCTATTTGATATTGTCGTCATCCAGCCCAACGCATCAAAGAGATGTCTACCTATCTATTTGTCGTAGCATGAAGAATCTACGGGGCAATTTTCATGTATTTAATTAAGGAAACCCGACCCATCCCGTAGAAAGTCAAGAAAGTCACCAGTACCATTTGCGCCTGTAAAAAACCATTGTATACCCTCGATTAACCCACCCGCGCCGGGCAAGAAGCACACGAGGGCGGGGATCGGCAAAAGTAGATCATATGGCGGAAAAAAAAACCCCCCCGCAAATACAGTAACAGCCCCGCGACCCCTGCCCCCCCGCTGCCGTGCGGTACTTCTTGCCTGTTGTGAGCACTGTGCTAGTATGATACAGTGCAACACCTCCGTGGCGTCCCATTCCCTTTGTCACCAGGGAGAGAGAAAAAAGTAGACTATCGCAAGGTTTGACGACGTTTGGGCGGTGGGCACCGAGTTTGATTTAGTGAGAGTATTCCTTGTCAGTGTTACGGTGGCATCGGTAAAAGGGCTATCTGGCCCGGTTTGGGTGTTTCTCGGGTGATCAGTGGGGCTCTACCAGTGGAGAGTCCCTTTACCACCGAATCACGGATGGGTCAATATTGCGACAGTGGTGCTGTTTCGTGAGGGAGGCTTGATTGATGGGCAGTGCTGGGGTTCCCGCCCATGGTTCGGAGTGTGGTGTTGAGTATTGTTCCTTTGGGGGGGGGGGTCCTATTACGGCAAGTCATAAGACTTCGCCTATATACCCTACTGTAGACCTCGTAGATCTTTGATTTCAACCCGGATTATGGGATTTTCGATTGCGGATCCAATAGCGATTTGGAGCCCCCTTGTCCTACTGAAATTATGACCCTGTGTTGGAATCGTGGGGGTACTTCTAACGCTAGGAACCCCAACAACCGCGAACTTCTGGACACGATAAGAGAAAAAGCCTCCTCAATTTACCGGTAGAAATCCCGTTATCCCACGATAGGTTTAGTTTGATGGGTTAAGAGAATTGCGAATACCGGTACAACACAGCCAATAGGCTGATCGTATACCATGTTGGGAAAACCCTAATCCCTCTCTAGAATGATATACGAGTACTTTGATAAACTATGATACAAGTGCCGGGCTAAGAGTTAATGAACAATTAAGGTAGGTTAACCTGCAAATAATCCCTGAATTGTGCGAAAACATATAACATGTGCCTGGCAATCCCTCTCCCGAGTTTTTGTCTCAGAATCCGGGGATTACAGAGCTCGCGGAGATAGTGGATTGTAAGGCTTTTTATGGCGCTTCTAAAGTTATCCCAGTCCCTGGGCTAAGCCACTTGTTCGTGGTTCCTCTGCACCGGAACCAGGTAGCACAACGCGTTGGGAGTTTGTATTAATTGTTGCTCGTCGATACGGTTCCGAGAAAAACCACCTCCTATCGTGCAGCCATGAAATCCTTACTACCAATTTTTCTGGTCCTTCCTTCACTGTTCGCTCTCCCTCAACAAGTTCCTCTTCGTTCCCCAGAGAAAACATCGAGCAATGCGTATTGCGCCACTACCCCTGAGTCACCTTATTACTATCAGGCTCGAGGAGCCGCTTCAATAGCGATCAACGTGTTGGGCAATAGACCATGCATTCAATCGAGTCTCTCGCAGTGCACGTCGCTTGTCAAGTGGGGAACTGCTGAAATCGAGATTTGTGGCGAGCGCGGATATGAGATACTGTGTACCAAGGTTGGAGAATACGTGGAGCGCATCATGGAGGAATGCAAGGAGTGGGACGAAACCAGATTTGTAGCGGAAGGGCTCTGGGCCACGAACGGAAAGCCGGGAGATGAGGATTTCAGAGGGGTGTTTCTTCATCACACCTAGGGTTCTTGGGTTGTTGGTATTTGCGGTTTCTGCGTTCGTGCTTGGAAGGCTGTGGCGGGGTTGGCTCGGTGGAGGTATTGGAGGCTCTTTCTATTTGTTTGTTTAGAAGGGTACGCGTCGGGTACGCTTGGATACTGGTCTGTACAGTACACGACAGTTGTCTTTGAATTTGACCACCTTTTGTCATATCCTAGATGCTAGGAACGAATAGCACCAATTGAAAGTGGTGACGTTGGCTGGGGGATGGGCCTTACTTGGACCCCGCCGTCCTTGAGCGGATGTGGGAGAATTGCGACCATTGAGCATTCTTGCCCTAATCTTTATCAACTTCAATATTGTGGCGGGGGCCAACGAAGAATGATTTATGGCCCGGCTTGTGAGTTTAGAAATTCGGTCCTTTTGAGGGAGCTCAAACAGGAAGAAAGTTTCCTATTCACATGGCTGAATTTTAAACTCTCGAGTTCAGGTCATACAATACGGGTATGATACTGGACTTGAGTACCCTTAAAAACTGGTCCAGTTGAAGCCGGGTCGGCGAACAAGGATAATAAATTTTATTGAAACCCTCACCCCAAATCGTTTGAGTTGCCTCTCCTCGTAAGGCGCGGCGTAAATTTCTTTTTATTTGTCTCAGCGGAGAGTTGAAAGCCATTCTTCTTCCCTGTGACTTTCTCCCCCTAATCCAAAGGAGGGAATTCTGGACGACTAGCGTGGGGGCCAATTATTCCGGTTTTTACAGTATTGGCGATATTCCGGCATAATATTTCAGGATCATAGTCGTTTCGGGGCCGATCATTGCTTTATCACCGAAGTGTGTACTGTAGGTCCCAACCACATGCAAGGGCTAACTTGCTCGCAGGAAAAGCGGAGAATCAAGAATTCCGACTTTGATGACCACCGGTAAGAGGCCCAGCCAACCTGTTTCGGCGTGGGTAGTGATGGGGGCGGTCCACTACATACTCTCGACAGCAAACAGTGGACGTTTGATTTGGTCATTTTCCCCGAGTAGACTTAGAAAAACCCTAGACCGTGCGAAGGTCCAGACGATGTTTTCCTCTTGTATTTCGAGCTTAGTACTCTGTGGGTGTTTGTGTTGGTTTGGTTAAGGGAGGTGTGGATATTAGAGAAGGGGATAAGTTACTATCTGAGTAGGTATCCTGGCAAAGCTTAGAGAGAATGTTAGCCGGGAGGTTTTGAATTAGAGGTATTTCTGAAGAGCGATACGGTAGGGAGATGGGGGGTTTGAGATATAGTTCTTGATTATCTACTGCATCAAGAGGTTATTTTGCTTGGGTGCCTGGCATGCCCGATTTGACCCAGCGACACCTCTTGGACTATCCCTAGTTTGGAAATCTTACTATTGTTCTGTTAGGTCATTTGGGTTTTAGAGCCGCGTAGCTCATCTGGGCCATACCCGTCCGTTGCTTGAGCGGTACCTGTATTGGGGAGGTTTTGGTAAGGTGTCATTTTTAAATTGTTTATGATACTAGGATTCGAGGTCGGGATCAGAAAGACTTTTTCCTTTTGGTAATTTCTAATTTATGATGGTCGGAACTTATTGCCTGACAAAATTTCATGG